TACGTAGGCGACTATTTAAGTTTCTTCAATATGTATGTTTTAGTATTGCCCGATGCAAACCATTGTCATATTCGTTAAGTTTAACATTTTGTAGCATAAACGTTCTCAGAACGTTTTGTCATTCGATCGTTATTTGTATTGTTTACCGTAACATGTAAATTGCGTCTCAGCCAAAAAATGAATTTTACTCGTGAACATTTTCGAGCGATTATTTTTTTCCACTTTCGATTGGGTGTATCACAACAACAGTGTTTTGATCAACTTCATTTGGCCTTTGGCGATGAAGTACCAAGTCTTCGGACAATTTATAATTGGTACAACGAATTCAAGCGCGGTCGCCTATCGCTCATCGACGAGTTCCGCGAAGGTTGTCCAAAATCAGTTGTTGTACCAGAAAACATCGATGCTGTCAGAAATATGATAATGGAAGATCGTCATGTAACATATCACGAGATTGAGGCATCCCTGGGCATTAGTGCGACCAGCGTATTTAAGATTTTACATGAACATTTAGCTGTCAGAAAGATTTGCTCTCGTTGGATACCACATAATTTGACAATCGCTCAAAAAAAGGCTCGTGTCGATTGGTGTAAACAAATGCTCAAGAAATTTAATCGTGGTGTTTCAAAATCCGTGTATTTTATCGTCACTGGTGACGAATCATGGATCTACGCGTATGAGCCCGAAACTAAACAGCAGTCGACTGTATGGGTCTTTCAAAGTGAAGATAACCCAACAAAAGTTGTTCGAGCTCGAAGTGTTGCGAAGCAAATGGTCGCCTGTTTTTTCGCGATAAGTGGTCATGTGGCAACAGTTCCACTAGAGGCTCGTAAGACCGTCAATTCTGATTGGTACACCACCATTTGTTTGCCCGAAGTGTTTGATGAAATAAGAAAAAACAACCGTCGTCGCAAAATAATTCTTCATCATGATAATGCGAGCTCTCACACATCTCATCAAACAGTCGATTATTTGACCGGTCAAAAGATCGATTTAATGGGTCATCCGCCGTACAGTCCTGATTTGGCACCCAACGATTTCTTTTTATTCCCGAGCGTGAAGAATAAACTGCGTGGTCAACGATTTTCATCGCCCGAAGAAGCAGTTGATGCGTTCAAAACACACGTTTTGGAGATATCACTTTCGGAGTGGCATGAATGCTATGACAAATGGTTCGAGCGAATGCAAAAGTGTATTTATCATCATGGCGAATATTTTGAAAAACAATAAAACCATTTTCGATGAAACCCCATTGTCTTATATATGTTTTTGAAAAAACTTAAATTGTGACCCTCGTATTTGGCTCGGTTAAAAAAATGCAATCTGTCAAGTCAGCTGTCAACCTCTTTCCAAAAACATTAACCATTTGATGAATCAAGACGATGGACCAATTAAAGATCCTATTTTTAACACTTTTTGAGTATTTGAGTTTTGCATAAGAATCCATTGAAAATATTGTCAACAATTTAAATCCGATGTCGAATGGAATATCAAGTAACTTTTGTTTTTCAATCATTCAAATATATTTAGCAAATTCAGTTGTTTCCTATAACTCGCTGAGGATGAAAGCATTGCTTTCGAAATGCGCATCTGAGAATTTTACAATTCTTAATAGTGTAATATTTGTTGTTTTTCAATAAAAAGATAATAATAATTATTTGGGTGTTAGGCGTCGTTTGCGTGAAGCAATTCGAAAAAAGCGACCGGAATTATGGACAGACAACTCGTGGTTTTTGCATCACGATAATGCACCGGCTCTTACTGCATTAGTTATTCGTGATCATTTCGCCAAAAATTCAACTCATATCGTTCCGCCTGACTTAGCACCATGTGTCTTATGGCTATTTTCTAAACTCAAAAGACCACTCCGGGGACACCGTTCCGAGTTGATAGAAGAGATTCAACGCGAATCGCTACGTGTTTTGAAGGCTATACCAGAAAGTGACTTCACACACTGTTTCGAGGACTGGAAAAAACGTTGGCGTATGTGCATTGCAGCCGGGGGGAATACTTTGAAGGCGACGAAATCGATTTTGAAGAATAAATAAAGAGTTTTCATTTTATTAATAAATGACCGGTATTTTTTGTCCACAATAGTATATGAAAATATACGTCGGGCACTGAGTGCCCCAAAGACGAAATGACCATCTTCTTTTTGCCGGCCATGGTATCGAAAACCATGGTGTGAATAGATGCATATTTTATATTTTTGAGTATGAACAGAGGCCGTCAACATGAAAAAAAACGGAGTGTAGTGATGTTTGATGACAAAAATGGTTTAATTTTAGTTTAAAATTTTGCTCGGGCACTGAGTGCCCGATGGACGGTTTTAGGGTTAATTATTCGATCCGATGAAAAATACCGCAGGTTCCAAGTTGAACTCCAGTAGAGGACGTCAAATGACACCAAATACCCACTACTACTAAAGTTTGATAGCTTAACAAACACCAAAGTGGGTCCAATCTATTCAGCAACATTCTGAGATGTTTCACCACACTTATCAGCCATATCTTTGCTTGAACGCTAATTTAAAAAAAAAAGCCATGTTTTATGACATCACGATTAGACTGGCCCCCAAAACACAAAAGTTAACATTTTTTCGCTCTCACCCCGGATTACTTTTTCATATGGTGTGGAAATAACGTGTGTAAAGTTTCATACCGATAGCTCAACGCTAGATGATTTCAGTTAAAATAAAAATATCTTCGCACAGCCATATCGACTAAAAATTGATGGTAATCGTCATTTTCCATCAAATACTTGCCACTGGTGAAGTTTCAAGCGATTTGGATAAAAATAAAACACATTTCCATGCAAAAATTTCAATCATTTCACCAAAAATGAAGGTTTTGTACCAAAAGTACGACAAACCTCCACAAATTAATCTTATTTGAAGCTAGAATACTTTCAGAGCAAAACTAATGTGATTCCACTTTGGTATACATCCATTTGAATGCATTGTTAGCATTGGAAATTGGAAACACTGTCGTTAGCATTGCAAATTGTGAGCAACGAACGTGGGGCCATAATATGAATATGAAACATGATTTTGCCGAACTATAATTCACTTCTAAACCTATTTCAATGACAGAATTCGATCAATTTTGACTGAATAAACAATATCAATGCTTTCTAGCCTGATTTGCGAATTTCTATACTAGCCGAGGTGAAGGTATGTTTTCAACTTGCAATAGAAAATGGATCATTTTATGAAGAGCCAAAAGTGACATTCAATTGGTTTTAAATCATAAATTTTAAGCTGAAATCGACAGAAAATTATGAAATATATTATAATGATAGTTTTCCAGTTATAAGATGCGTTCAAATGGATGTATACCAAAGTGGAATCACATTAGTTTTGCTCTGAAATTATTCTAACTTCAAATGAGATTAATTTGTGGAGGTCTGTCGTACCTTTGGTACAAAACCTTCATTTTTGGTCAAATTTTGAAAAGTTTGCATGGAAATGTGTTTTATTTTTATCCTAATCGTTTGAAACCTCACCAGTGGCAATTGTTTGATGGAAAATGACGATTACTATCAATTTTTAGTCGATGTGGTTGTGCAAAGATATTTTTATTTTAACTGAAAACATAATTTTTCAATAAATTCACATAATGACCTACCGAGCTCTTGCGGCACTATCTATCTAGCATTGAGCTATCGGAAAGAAACTTTACACACGAGAGCGAAAAAATTTCAACTTTTGTGTTTTGGGGACCAGTCTAATCACGATATTCTTTTGTTCTTCAAACCAATGTAAACAAATAATTGAAATGTTGAAGCATTTTAAGTTGAAATTTTCAACAGTGAAAGTTGGAAGGTTGGTAGTTCTTAAAAATCACATGGTATTCTATTACATCGCCATTCATATCTCAGACCATGTAGTAAATTAAATATCATTAATATAAACTTCATTTTTTTGTTTTTTATGACAGGCAATCACGCAGGATAAACAAGATCTTCGTAATATGTACCAATGTCCAGTCTATAAAACTCGGTATATAAACTGTCCTAGTATTTTCAAGTTTAAAAACGAAAGAGACTAGACTAATCATTCATACCTAATTCGGAGTCAAGGAATCCTTTGGTGGTATTTGTTTTGGTTGGTTCGTGACTTCATACAAATGGTTTTATTTTGGGCTAAATGAAGTGTCTCTTAACCAGTTTTTGTGAAAGGCACAAGAAAATCAAATTTTACATTTCTTTTAAGATATGATGAAATTTGGATATGTTTTCGAAACACAAATATGTTTTAACCTATTTTTTTCAAGGTAAATAATAAAAGTAGAATAATAAATGCGCTTAGAATAAAAGTAGATAATGGTAGAAAGTTAAAAAAAATTTCAGTCATAAAGTTCAGTGAAAATAATACTCTATCAAGAACAAATAAAAAATAAAGAGTCTTACGGGAGTAAGACGAACTTTTCCGTACGGTGGTAGTTGCATATTTTATTAAGCAAGTTCGAAATAATATTTGTTCAATTTTTCAAGCCTTTCATGTGGCGTAAAGTTCGAGACCAAAAAATATGTTCAAACCTTGACATCGAAATATTCTTTAATTTAATAGCAGAAGTACTCGAGAAAAGATTTTACTTTTCCGCACACCTAGTGTAGGGAAGGTATTGTATTAGGGCAAAAAATTAAAGTCATCCCAAAACATGTTTTCTATGCATATTTAATGTAGAAAACACGATTGGAGATGATTTTGGGGCATATTAATGTGCGTCGCTGTGTGTGATGTGTCCTGTGTCCTGTGTCCTGTGTCCTGTGGCGTGTTGCCAAAATTTGTTAACACGATTAATCCTCTTCCAAAAACTCAATTCAAATTCTGACTTTGCAGGATGATTTGGGACTACTAGGAGACGTATTGATTAGGTTTTGATCTATCTTTTATAGAGTTCATTTGACAGGTTGCACTTTTTTTTGTCGCAGAAAAAATAATAAAATAAAATTAATTGAAATCGATTTTAAAAATAAAAAAACAAATAAAATAGTAATACAACTGATATTAAATTGAAGAACAAGAAAAAACACAGCAGGAAATAGTGAAGTTTTATCAAAAAACTGGAAAATAAAAACAGTAAATAGTATTGAAAAATTTCAGTTCGTGTTGTTGTTGTTATTTAATATAAAAAAAATGACAATTCATTCTTTTATATATAATAATAACTGCACCGAACAGCGTTCCTTCGCCTTGGTGGTT